ATATATATATATATATATATATAGAGAGAGAGAGAGAGAGAGAGAGAGAGAGAGAGAGAGAGAGAGATAGATAGATAGATAGATAGATAGATAGATAGATAGATAGATAGATAGATAGATAGAATTCATGCAGTAGGGGTAAATTAAATTAAATAATGGAATTTGTGAAACATGCATTTCTCACCTTCCAAAAGTATCAGCGAGACCTTTGACCCCCAGTGAACCAAGCAGTGCTCCAAAATCCTTAATACTAACAGAGAGGGACCACAGGAACGTCAGACTGTGGTCTGGAATTGACTGATTGTGTCTGGATCTCCATGTCGTGTTGAAAAACTCTTCAATCACCTTAATTTAAAATGTCAAATATATATTAATCATATATAGCATACCTTATTCACATGTTTCCTGATAATGAATGTATGAAAAAAGTAAAATCGTTGAGTGGTTCTTGTTTCGCCAAAACCGTTCTGCTAAATTTAGCTATTTTAATGAGCCTGAGTAATGATTAAATGAGTCTCAGTCTGAATATTTTCATTCCAGACGCTACTTAATCCAATCAACAAACAAACAGCATACGTAATGCTAATGCGGACAAAAACTCAGAGCAGCCTGTAATTTTAATACTTGACTCTGAAAGTTCATTTCACCTGCTTGAAAGACATGACTAATATCTTGAGACGAGTCCCAATGTTTTCCTAATGAAAACTCGACCCGAGGGATCTGGACTATATCCACACACAGACGATAAATCAACACAAGCTAGACATCATAGCTACCTGTGCGCAAACACGAAGCGTTCCAAATCCAACGCTGGCTGAAGAGAAATATTCTGTGACTCGGTAAAGTTTATTCAGTGTTTTACGAGGGCTCTGAGAACTTTGTATGTAAACTGAGAAACCATGCTAAACAGCGGCTGGCCCCCCAAAGTCAACTCTACTCACTCGGGCAGGGGGGTTAATATTGCCTGTTTGGTATCCGATCTGGAGAGACCCGAGCACCGCCGCCACGATGGAGGTCAGCAGAGGAAGGGTCAGTTGATTCTGGGTGCAAAGATGAGTTGCGGTTAATTGACTTAATAGAACATCATAAAAGGCATGCTGGGTAATAGAATGACCACAAAACCAATGAGCATGATTACATCCCTGCTAAAAAATTCAGCTTAAACCAGCCTAGGCTGGTTTAAGCTGTTTTTTTCAGTAGGCATGGACACCAATAATCTGATTTTAATATGATTAAGACAATACCATGATTAAGAGCCTACCATGTAAACAGAGATTTTTAATGACCGCTTTTTTTCTTCCTGGTTTTATTATTGAGACAAACCATGTGTAAAATTGCCACTACAGATTGTTTACGTTTGGTGTGAGGAATAATTTCAGAACTCGTGATAGTGGAAGTGTAACGAGTGGAAGATGTCAAACTCCAGGGGCGTTTTCCTTTAGGGTTTGGTGCGTCTTCATTGTTCAGTCTGACTTTATGACAGCTGAGATCTTACAGTGTGACATGGGAGCCATGCTCGTGCAGTCTAAGGCTCCGATTACACTAGTGCGTTTTAGTTTTAAAACAGCGTCTTAGATCAAAAACGATCCGCGTCCACACTAGCGTTTCACGTAGCGTTTCTGAACATATCTCCGTCCACACTACGCCACCAGAAACGTATATCACGTGACCATTGGCGCACTCTGGGCATGCGCGTTCAAGTATAAACAGGAAGCATGTGTCTTGCTCTGCATTTGGTTATTGTTTGTCAACAAACACTGGTTGAACAGTGAACGCGATGGCAAAGAAAGCAAGAGAGGTATTTTTGTGGACAGACGACGAGGTCGAGTTGTTACTAAACGTAACAAATGAATAACTGCACAATGGTGCCCAAGACAGACAATTGTGCAAACAACGCTCCTATTTCTGTGTCCATGTTGTTGTTTACAGTGAAGGCTGGTCTGCTGTCTCCCAGTAGCGTTAAAGCCATGTGGCTTGACGAATAAGGGAAGGATACGCAATGACACAAAAGCCCCAATCATGTAGCGAATCTCAGCAGCCATGCCTCCGTTGTCTCAGATATCTCCGTTTTCCCCCATCCACACTGAGACCGAGCAGCAGCGTTTCAGAATGAAAACGGCCTCTCCAGCATTTCCAAAACGCTCCGTTTTCGGCGCTGGACATCTCCGGCGTAGTGTGGACAGATGGCGTAACCGTGGCAAAACTTATGTGCTTTCAAACTAAAACGCATTAGTATAAACGGGGCCTAACATGCTACAGTCATTCAGGTTTATAAAAAATCTTGGCCTTAAGACAATACTATGATTAAGAGCCTACATGTAAAAAACGATTTTTGATGACCATAATCTGACTAAAGTCATAATCAAATCGAACAGAAATCAGATTGAGACATGTGGTGTATGCATTTTTTACTTGCATTATTGAAGTGCTGTACAGACAGGTAGACACAATAATCAAACTATTCAATTCAATTCAGCTTTATTTGTATAGCGCTTTTACAATGTAGATTGTGTCAAAGCAGCTTTACATAAATGGTCATAGTAACTGGAACAGTGTGGTTCAGTAACTGGGACAGTGTGGTCCAGGTTTTAGTGTTTAAGTTCAGTTCAGTTTAGCTCAGTTCAGTGTGATTTAATCATTACTGAGAGTTCAAACACTGAAGAGCCAATTCATCGATGCATAGCTCTACCAATCCTGAACCATGCGAGGCAGTGGCGACAGCGGAGAGGGAAAAAAAACTTCACCTGATGGGAGTGAAGAAAAAAAACCTTGAGAGAACCAGACTCTAAACTATTACTGTCATGTAGGACTTTTCACCTTATTTTGTTACAGGATATTTCATACACACACGGCTGTTTGACACTATTCTCTGCACCTACCGAGCCAGTAAAGGACCACAGACACCCGCCAAGGTTTTTTTTTTTGGCATTTGATGTAAGGTATCAAGCTCCATTTATACAACACACTTCCGAAAGTCCTTACTTTATACTTGCATCCAATAAAGCACTTCTTACACTGTGAGATTTTATCCACGATTTTGTCATCTAAGACCAATTTTGGCAATCCTAAAAGATTCCTGAAATCCTAGGCCAAAATCGGTGATCTTTGATAGTGGGTTTGACGTGTTCACTGACAGCCCGTTGCGATCAGATCTTTCCTCTGATGAAGTTCTGGCAGTGTCAGAAGATTTTGTTTTTGCTTGCCTTATCGAAGTGCAGGGCAGACATGTTGACACTATAATCAAACTATTACTGTCATCTTGGACTTTTCGCCAGATTTTGTGACAGCATATTTGAGAAATGTACATTTACATTTAGTCATTTAGCCGACGCTTTTATCCAAAGCGACTTACAAATGAGGACAAGGAAGCAATTTACACAACTATAAGAGCAACAATGAATGTGCTGTAGGAACGTTTCAGGTGTGTAAAGTCTAAGAAGTATAGCATTAGTAATGTATATATATATATATATATA